AGGAAGGAAGGAAGGAAGGAAGGAAGGAAGGAAGGAAGGAAATTCTGAGAGTGAAAGGGAGGGAGGGAGGGAGGGAAAGAGGGAGGGAAGGAGGAAGGAAGGAAGGAAGACCATTTATTCTAAAAATAATATAACCAACAGGACCCATCCCGGGTCTAACTTAAGGCCCGGGGAAAGCCAGGTTTTAAGGGTTCTTTCAACCACAATCAGGAGGAGGCCCTGCTACCAAGGAGGCTAAATTGACCCCCAAAACTGAGATGAGTGAAGGGAGGCATTGGAGGAAGAGGAGGAGTTTCTGCCGTTTATTAGACCCTTCCAGCTAGAAGCACATTTGTGACCGGACAGCCTCTAGCCAAGCGGTGCTGAGCAGAGCACCTCTCCGGCCGATGCGCCTTGCCAGGTATCTTACCTTAATGAGCAGCTCCCGACTCAGCGAATGGTTGTTCTCGTCTGAAAAGATTTCGGATAACTCGTGGAACATGCGGCAGCTCTCGCTGCAGACAAAGGAACAACAACAACAACAAAAATGAAGGGTGAAAAAGATATCCTCCGCCACGTCTTTATTAAATCCAGCTGTCTCTCTTTTCCTTATACAGATGGCCTGCTGCCCTTAGATCTGAAACTGCCAGTGGTTAAAAACCCAACCCAACCCAGTCGAAAACCATCATTCCTGACCTAAAGCAACACTAAGGAACAGCAAAGAAGCCCAGGAATCAGTAAAAACTTCTGCAAATATACAACTTGATATTCTCTCTATGCACAGAGAAGAATCACCGTAGAAAAAACAGAGAAATGCCAAAATTGCAAAAAGTGGATAGAATGCAAGCTTTTTTTAAAAAAAAAAAAGAAGAAGAAATGTTGTTGATCTCCCTTTGCAATTAAATGTTTTGATATTCAGCCCACCGAAACATTTCGGAACGTCGTCTCGGGAAAAGGCGGCCGGTTTCCCATTCGAAACCGGTTCGCTTTGTTGGAAAAACCTTTCCCTGTAAGGGAAAGTCAGCCAAGGAAGGGATTCATCCTTTAAGACACTTAAAACACTGCAAAAGATTCTTAAAACGGGCAAAAGTCAGCCCTTTTTATGGACAGGGCGATGGGAGAGGCAGAAGTCTTCCCATTTCTCCAACCATTTTTCAAGAGCAACGTTCAAGGTTAGAAGAAAGAAAAGCAGAGTCTTTTCTCCCATTTTAACGCCACTTTCGAATAATAGACACTGACTTTTTCTGTATCGGCGAGAATCTGTTTGCTCCATCCTATTGTAAGCCGGGGGCTTGGTGCAGGGCAATGTGGGGGACACAGACACCCCCCACCTACCCTCTAAATATTGGAGAAGTTTTGGAGAAAAAGTTACCACCTTATTTTCCTTGGTGGAGAATTTACAAGAAAGAGGCTGGAGGAAATGCTTCGGCTTTTGGAGATGGGAAAAGAAACAGGAAGTGAGAGGTGGAAGCTGGTTTTACAAGCCAGGAAATTCCAGCTTTTGGGCTATTTTTTAAATAAAATCTTTCTGTTTGATGTTCTGTCCTTCATTGCCCCATTCAGCACTTTTCTCTTCGGTGTTACTACTATCATCACATTCCTTCCAGACTTCCTTTTTTTCCCCTTCTTGTTTTTACCCTCAATTTTGATCACGGTACCCAACTTGCTTGGCCCCGTTGCTTCGCCCAGAGCCAGGCGGAAAAAGTAGGCAGGCTAAATTTGAGCAAGCAGCTTTGGGCCAAAAATAAATGCAAGGGACATCCAACTCATAAAATACAGCAAATGGGATTGATAAGCTGGCATTCCAGTTTCTGGTCTCCATCCCATTAAAAATTCCACTTGGCTGCCAAATGAACACACAGTGGAGAGAAAGGAAGTTTTGGGGGAAGCTAAATACAATTTACATTTTATATTGTTCAATGCAATTTTATTAATTTTTTTTCCCCTCTCTCCCTGAATGGAGGGGGCTGAAAGGAAGCCTCAGTAGGGTTTTTTTGCTAACCCAACAATGTTGAAAATGTTGACATTAAACCACTCTGGGAGGCCAAGCACCCACCCGCGCACGTTTCCTCCTCTGACTCACCGCGACACCTCGTCCCACGTCTTTTTCAACCTGTGAACCGCGTTGCACTGGAGAGCGGAGAGAATGGCTCGGAGGGAAGAGAAATTCTTGAGAATGCGGCATTCCTGCAGGAGAGAAAAAGACGGGTGTCGGCAGCCGCTGAGATCGCTCCATCACACGCACCGGCACAACCGAGCCTTTTTCAAGGCCTTGTACTTTGCGCAAGCGAACCTGCTCCATTATCGAGTTGGGCCCCATTCAGTGATGCACCCCAAATTTGCAAGCAGGCGTTGCAAAAGGAACGGCGAGTGAAACTGCCAGAGTATCTTTTTGCTCTGCACGACCGACGAAGCTGGTGCTGATTTGCAGGAAGTGAGGAATAACTAAGGCGGTGTGTGAAACTGCAGACACGGGCGGGGGTGGCACCTCTCTCTAGTTGCCACCATTTGAAATTTGGGTTTAAGTAAGACCAACGCTAGCCCTTGGGCCTTGGTTTACAGGAGACAACAGCTGGTGCGGGGGTTCGGGGGTTGAACTGTGGGATTCAAGTCCATCCCCTGCCTTCAAAACCCACGAGAGCCGGTCACACGCTCACAGCCCAGCCAACCCTGCAGGGCTGTTGTTGGGGGCAAGGGCTCTGCGTGCTTCCTTGATGTGCCTCCCTGAAGGGAGGACATCTAGCTTCAGAAAGGAGTTTTAAGATATAACGTTTGGGAGGAAAGCCATCTGGCCTGGGGTGGGGAGGGAGGTCGCCAGATATGGGGTTGGCTAGCCACCTAGAGGCCTGGTGTTGCTTCCATCGGCCTCTTGGGTTTTTCCTTTGCCTTTTATTCTTTGTAAATGTGTCCTCTTTAAATTTTAACTGCATATTTTCCTTTGCCTTTTATTCTTTGGAAATGTCTCCTCTTTACATTTTAACTGTATATTTATTTATCGTTTTAATATGTTGTGAGCTGCCCAGAGTCCCCCATCGGGGGGAGATGGGCAGGGACAAGTTTAATAAATAAATAAAATAAATAAAATTGCACTGCTGATTTTTTATTTTTTATTTTTAATGGGAAGGGAATAAGGCGATCGGATGGCTCACGTACCCGCGCTACTTCGATCCACCGCTCTATCACTTTGGCTCTCTGTTGCGGCTTCAGCATCCTGTCCCCGAGGCAGGTGGCGATGACGCAGTTGGTGACGCTGTTGAACTGGGAGACGGTGGCCCGGATGCTGGGGGCCAAGTGCTCTTTCCCCTTCTTGTCCCGCTGAGACCAGATGCAACCGAGGCAGTGATAAGGCACCACTTTCTTAAAGAGCTCCTGCATTGAAAAGAGGCCGCGGATCAGCCCAGGGGAGACGGGCACGAAACCGACGGAAGGTGAGGATCGCTAAGGGCAGCAGGCCTAGCCAGGAGCACGAGACTTACGGCATCCATTAGGGTGAACTGCTCAGCGGCCATCTCCGGAGAAAAGGAAAGGAAATCCAACTTGCCTTCGCTCAGTCCATTTTCCTCCTCTAACCTCAGAGGGCAACTGGGATGATCCACAGCTGGAAGGGACGAAGGGAAGGCGTTAAGTGGCTCTTGTTCACACAACCCCCTTAACTGGGTTTTTCGGCAAACTCATTTTCTAGGTTCACGCGCAGGAGACGGCAAAGTGAACGGGCTGGGTTTGTAGAGCCCAGGAAGCTGCAGGAAAACTAACCAAAGTTTAGGATACTGTAACAAGGCGGCCACTGAAGTTTACCAATGCAAGGATGGGCCGCAAAGTTACTTTTTCGTCACCGTCGTAACTGCGAACGGTCGCTAAACGAGGCAATGGCTAAACGAGGACGACCCGTAGCAGTTGGTTCTACTCGGTTAGGCGCGTTCAAATGGAGGTTGGCCACGTTTCAGTTTGGATTCTGCGGTCGTTGGACTCGTAGCCGAAATGACCTTTCCAACTCTGAGTTTCTATCAACGGTCTGTGGGGCACGGGGCACAACACTCACCTTCCGCTTCCGCCTCGGCACGCTCCTGTTGCTGGAACTGAGTGAAGAGGATGCGCGCCCGCCGTTCCAAATCCGAGCCAGGGATGTTCAGCCGGACGTAGACGATCAGCTGCTTAAGGCAGGCGTAGTCGGGCGGCTTGCGGAAATCTTCGGAGTACTGATCCAGCCAGGCGCCCAGGATGGAAGAGATGGTGCTGAGGACCGAGAGGGGAGGGCAGAGGGAGGCTAAGAGGGGGGAACTTTGGACCCGTCTTGTCGGCAACGTGCGGCACGGAGTCGGAGCCCCCAGAATGACTTTGGAAGGGTAATGGGTACGTGGACAGCTACGGTTTCCCACTGGTTGGGGCCGTACCCTCTTCCCCTGAACAAAACGTCCTGCTGACTAGAAACTTGAAGGAGAGGCACTTACTTTTTCAATTCCAGCCTCTCGTCCACCGCGTGTCTGGGGTGGTCTCCGTTGGCTTGCAGGTTGAACTTCCCATACCTAGAAAGAAAAAGGAGAACATTATCTGTGTGCAAAACCTTTTTTTTCCTTTTTTTTTAACAGTACAGTAGTTATTTGTTAGGCAAGCGAAACTTCCTGATACTTTAGATATACAACCCCGGGAGATAAGCTTTGGCTGGGAGGTGGGGACTGATCCAGGCCGTTCAAGGAGTTAACATCTGACACCAAGAGTGAGCAAACATTTGGGGGGCCAGAGCCTAAAAGAGTAACCAGTTAGACAAGTTTGAGAATCAGCTGCTTCGGACTAACTGAATCAGCTCCCTTTGCAGGGTATTTGCAAAGGAGGAAATGGTTCATTAAACGGAACAATTCCAAAATATTTCTGAAGTTTGTCAGTTTATATACATTTCATGGAAGGGTGGATGGGCAGATGGCTAGACAGAGAGGAAGCTGGGTGGGTTGAGGGAGGGAGGGAGGAGATGGAGGAAGGAAGGAAGGAAGGAAGGAAGGAAGGAAGGAAGGAAGGAAGGAAGGAAG